AACCAAAGAAAAAAAGAGAAAAAAAAAGGACTAAATCGCGGAAGCTAAATGCACATGAAACGACCAACGATCGCAACGATCGTTCTCCGTACATGCACAGAATCTCGAGCGCAACGTTCGTTTCGAGACCATTTCGCGACCGCGGCCGCGAAAATTCGAAAAGTCGAACGGGCAAAGCCAGAGAGACGAGTGGCATGCTCCATTCGTTCCAGCTTCACTCTCGTCTTTTCAAATTAAATTTCCTGAAACAGATTGTCACGCGAAAACGCGCCTACCCGATCGGAGACTGTGACAATCTGCCCGGCCCTACCTACTTACAATTAACAGAGGCACACCAGAAGTATACTACCTATCCTACCTAACCCTATATTTAAAAAAAATGGCAAAACACGCACACCAACACACTCTCTCCACGATTCTCACGCATAACACCCGGGCGCAAAAGCCTGCACTAGGGAAAACGTCCCGGGACGTCTCCGACACCCGAGCTTGGCATACTTCTCTCTCATACTCTAACTGTACGTACCATTTTCCTGAAATCGACTGACGATGGCTAGCGACCATTGCGTAACAGACAAAAGGCTCGTGTCTATTATTAATTGTAATTGTCGTGAATATTGAAAGAATATGTATATCTTTTAAAGAAATTAGGTTAATGGATTATATGATTATTATTATTATTATTATTATTGTTATTATTTCTTCTATTGTTATTATTTCTATTATTATAACTTAATAGCAGAATTGATAACATTATCGTTTGTAATCCGTAATTTAATAGCGGAGATAATATTATTTTATTTAAATTATGAATGTTAATTAATAATTATGAATATTTTAATCATTTCAAATGGATTGTATTGAAATAGTTAGATAGTTTTGAAACGACGCAATTCCACAGCCTAATCACACACACACATAATGTGGAAAATACATCGTGCACGATACACTAACGCATCGTCAGTCGCTGAGAAATTTTTCATTAGTTTATGAATTATGATCATCATGCCCATCGCCTTTCTCTCACCCAAGTAGCACCTGGGCACGTGAGTGAGATCCTGGCAATAGACACGGAAAGGGTTAAATCTGAAAATCCTGAGCTAAAAAGATATATTAATATTGTTTGTTTATCTAACGGGTTAAAATTCTTTGTATAATTCTTTGTATTTGTATATTATTTTATCACAAATTTTAATAATTCAAATTTTATAATACTACTAATTTATTTGATAAATTAATGAAAATTTAATATCAAAAGATTAAAGAAATTGAAATGATTGAATTTAACGAAAGCAAATAACTCTAAGTCAAATATTAATAGAAAACCCTCAGGCGATTTCTTCATCAATGCAAATTTTCGAAATTATTAAGGCAATGTTAAAAAACTTGTTGCTTTGAGTCTGAAATTTACCTGTCGCGAAGCATTCTTCTTGCACATGAAATTGAACAAATCTTTCACGAAACGAATTAAATTTTAATATTTTCATATCTCAAGTTATATTAATATAACACGTTTATTTATAATTACAATCATAGATTAAACGTATCGTATTATTATCATTGTTTTATAAATTCTAATTTTTGCAGCAACGAAGTCGAAGGGTATCCGATTTCTCTGCTACGAAACACTTAATCGAAATTATCTCTTCATTTTATTTTATTTAAAGACATTTATTTATGAATGTTGCAAATATCCGTATTGAATATATTTCGATTTTATAAATAACTTTAGTAAACATATACATAATTTTAATTCATGATAATTCAAATTAATTATCAACGTTATATTGTTCTTAATAAATATTATTGGTTTATTGTTGTCATTAATCATATTATATATCAAAATTAATCATAACATATATTAATATCTAAAAACACGACGTGCAAGAAGACCCTATCCTGAACTAATAAATAAAACACAGAAAAAGATATGTTACTATTCACGAGTATAATAAATACCCGTGTTCACTGTGCTCGTGCAAAAATCTACGTATACAACCAGTCACCCGTGTCGATTCGGACCTTTCATCCTACGACATGATTGAGTGACCAGAGGAACATAAATGCATGCGACTCACCATTAGATGCGACGTATGCTGCTTTGGACCAGAGGAACTCGTGGGAGGATGTCAAGGCTGGAAGAAATCTGCAACAAAGCATGAAAATGAAATTTTAATTTTTCATATCGATAATTCAATATAAATTTCCTTTACTTTTTAATTAATAATTAAAGCGAAATACGAAGAATAAAACAAAGTGGAAAATGAGTATGAAAAATTATACAAAGATAATTACCTCTTCGCGTGATGGATGATCGCCTTATACTGTTGACACTGACTCTACCTTATACCGAAAACGAATATTTGCAAAAAGAAGAAATATAAAAATTAAAAAATAAAAAGCTATTATCGCGTCCGTTGTATAATCGGCGAACAAGCACTGACTCTATTTTCGCGTATAATTGTTATAATCAAATTTAATGTTAGAGCTATTGTGCTCTAAAAAATATTAAAAATACTATTACGCAATAAACACTGGCTCTAACGATCGCATTGCGCGCGATCACAAATATTCTCTGAAATTTAAAGATCATTTACCGGGGAAAGATGGAATACGAAAAAAAAATAAAATATTTTTATGTTTTTTTTATATTTTCTTTGTCTTTGAATTATTAATTAAAAAAAATATTGTTGTTTCTCTAAAACTTCCAATTATTGTTTATTTTTCATTGATAAAGGAATGTTATAATTACTATTTAAAAAATGAATTGCATGTATTTAAAATATTATTTGTGAATTGAAATGTATTTATTCATATTGCCAAATATTTATTATTTAATGTAATGCAATAAATTTTCAAGAATTATACTATAAATATTCGTTATGACAATCAAACTTTATCACGATTTATAAATACTTGAAAAAATTTACTTACGCGATACTTAACAATTTATTGAAATTAAAAATAAAATAATAATGTATAATACAAAAACTAATATTTGATATTCGAAACATATCTGAATAATCACTTAAAAATCACTTGAAAATAATAAAAATTATTATAGTAAAAAATTCGCTTAAAATACAATAAAATAAAAATTTAGAATCTGAATTCAAAAAAATTTAAAAATAATATCAATTATATGGATAACTTGTTAATTTTTTCATCTCAGTATTTTCAATAAATTACATAGAATTATTGTTTCTTTAGATATATCGTATTATGAATTATTATTAATATTAAATAAAAAAATGTTACCATATCCGCATAAAAAAATAAATTGAATCATCATGTACCCATGAATCTCTGTTGTTGCAAAATCATTCCTGAATTCAACGAATAATCTGTAAAAATCAAACATAAGATTCAATTAAAATAAATATAATAAATATAATATAATCAATATCAAATTAAAATCAATTATATCGAAATATAACAAGAAATTGAACTCAAATTCTATCTCGAAATCTTATATCACAAGCTATAAGTAACCTCAACAATAAAATAGAAGGAAAAAACAAAGAGATTTTTGATAATATTTAATGTAAAAAATTATAATAATGTGAAAGTAATTAAATAAAAGCGTGTCGACGAAAGAAAATTAATAGAAGTGTATAAATTGTAATAGAGTATCGATAAAAACATTAAAAAACACGCAATTGAGGTTACGCGCCATAATAAAGGTGATACGTCTTGCCTCGACAAAGTTCGATAACCGAATGACTTTACGCCGCGCGGCGCGCTTGGTTCCCTTTTCACTTTAATTTACGTGTTATATTAAAATACGCACGTTATTCCAAATTTTGTTGAAACTACGAAATCCCGATACGACCATAAACAATATTCGGTGTTTTTTACAATATAGAGAAACCGTTTTCTCGATATATTAAATTTTAAAAAATATTTTCGCATTGTGTGCAGTTTCTTTTTTTAAAACACGAATAAATAATAATAATTGGAAAATTTTTGTTGATTTTTATTATAATAAAATTTATTAAAAATTAACAAAGACTAGGGTAAAGGATAATTTTTATAATGGCCAGATTGCATACGATTCTTAATTTTATCGTGACTAAAACATAGAGGGCATAACAAATAAATTTTTTTAGACATTTAATTAAGATTTAGTTGATATAAATATGGTAGATAAATATGATAAAAATACAATAATCTGAAAATGAATATTGATCAGTAAAATTGAAGATAACAATAAGACGATATATATAGTGTATATTTTATCGAATAAAAAAGAGAAAGAAATAAAATTATACTTTCATAAACGATAAATATTAATCATTAACCATAAATTTAATCGACATTGACGAAAAAATAATTTCAATTATAGCGTGATTTATCAAATCGTAAAAAAATTATGGCATTTTTCCAATTGATACTGCACGCTAATCAATTAGAAAAAGTAAGGAAAGCTTACGAAGATGAAAAATTAACATCGATCGATATTTGGAAAAGTGGCGAGCATCGATTTACGATAAAACAGCGAATTCGCCGAAGAAAATTATGGTTAGACCTTATACGATAATAATTTTTATTTCATTATATCTATCGTAATTATTTTTGGAAAATCGAAACAGGATTAGAAAGAAGTTTAGACTTCTGGGTAAAAAAATCCTTACTTATCTTTTTCGAGAAGATTCTTGGACGTATAAAAAAATAATTGCAATTCGTACCGATGGTACATTGGAAAATTATATTTTCAAAAGTTTTGTCGGATTTTTTGGTGGAATATTCTTAACATATATCTTTTTCATATTTTTCGTTTTTCAATTGCATTTTAAACTATCGTCCGCAACATTCCTTTGTACGATAATAGGAACGATTCTCACCCTTGGTCTCGCATTTTCTCTTCGAGTTCGGTACGTCTATATCTAATTTTCTCTTCAATTCATTTGAAACATAAATCGATTCTTTAACGATATTTCAGATGCGTTGTATTTCTATTATTGCCGCAATTGTTCTCAAGACGAGGAAAGCAAGCCTTAATGGCGTACGCGTTCATTTTAGCTTTAACTGGACCGGTGAAAAATACTTTGCACAACATGGGTATACTCTCAGAATCATTGTCTTGTGCGCAAGTATGCTAATACTACCTTGCACCATTTAATCCTTGATTCGCAATCGATCGTATGTATGTATAATCGATCGCGAGAAGCTCGTTTGTGTTTTAGGAACAGTTAAAAGAAGCGGTAAAGACCGTGGTGGATTTAGCGAAGCAGCCATTTTACGCTCTACGAGATGCAATATCGAAAGTTGTAAAGTCAGTGAAAGTAGTCGTAAAGAAGATAAAGCAAACTCTAATCGCGATTAAAAGGATCGTTCTCAGTATTCGTAAGTATAAATTCAACGTATTATATGCATAATTATATTAAAAATTGCAAAAACTTTTATCAGAGTTTATCTCTCCTTTTAGTTAGAGTTATCAGTTCGGTATTTCAATGGCTTGGAAGTATTATAAATATGTGTAATAAAAAGTTGGGCACACCTTTCGAGAGGTGTCAAAACGTTTTCGAAGGTGCTGTGGCCGATTGTAAAGCAAAATTAGGACCGTATCTCGGCGTGGTTTGCAATATAACTTATATAGTCAGTACTCTGTGCTACATAGTGAAACCATTGGATTTTATTTGCATGCTTGTCTCTTATATATCCGACACCGTAGTAGGTGTCGTACGAAACAGTAAGTTATATTCGAATGAACTTTAATCGATCATTTCGTAGATCGATTCAATCGATTGCTTTGTTTGTAGAGATTAAAAAGTTTACAATGCACATGAAAGCGATGTTCTACGTTAAAGTTAAGTTCTCCCATTCGTTTCATTTCGAAACGAATCAAACAAAAACGATAAAAGAAGTGACTACGAATATTGGTAAGGAAATACGATCGAGAACCAACAAAATTTTCGCAATTTTCGATGTCCTAAGTTTCGCCACGACCTTCTTCTTTTTCTTCGTAATACTCAAGTATGACAATATTAATCGTTACATCCGTAAAGAATATTATAAAACTGCGAGTGTACCGCGTATTTTCAGAGTAGTGCATTATCGTTACAAATGGTTAACTAGCGAGCGTTATGATAATCGATACATAACCAATGATATACGTACCATCGATTTGATAAGAGCGCGACAAGAGAAAGAGACAGTTTTGCCTCTCAATCCGCGAGAACAGAAAAGATATGCATCATTAACGTCTACCAAGTTGATCAAGCCTGAAAGGGTTAAGTTAGCTAGATCTTTAGTATTTTTAAGCATGGCGACGATGAAACTTATCACCTTCATGGCGATAGATTATAGTCTTTTTTGGATATTAAAAATGATCCAAATCTATGGACGATATCAAAGTAAGGTAAAACAACGAGTTGTATTATCGCCATTGTTTCATATATATGTATACGTATATATATCGATATCGTTATACGATAATTTTTAGGTGGAACGACCAAGTGTGATAACTATTCATGTAGCCGGTGATGGATATTTGGCTGAACTTTATAGAAGCATCATAAAATCGTTTACACCTCATGAAAACGAAGCGGAAATAGATACGTTGCTTTGTCTCCCGGATCCTATACCTCCTAATACGGATAAATATGTCCAAATCATCACTATAATACTTTTATGCTGGCTGATAACTTTCTTTGAACCTTATGGTTTACGATTAAGACAAGTGGTCATGTGCCAATATTACCCTGACAGAGCGAAACAAAGAGCAATTTGGCTGTACAATCATATAATCAGGTATAAATGATATCCTTTTCGTTTCTATTGTTGAAAGAAAAAAGAATTAAATTACTTTTATCTCTAAAAAAACATGAATAGATCAAGAGTGAGTTTTTTGAAGTTCGCTAGACGTCAATTGCGCCGAAAATTCGGTCTGAGCGGAGACGAAGTTGTCGAAAAAATGACATTAAGGGAGAAATTATGGGCTATGTGTCCATTTTTGAACACGTTATTCCCATTAAAACAAACTGCATGCCTTCTATGTGGCGCGATCGAACGTCCTGAACATGAACCACATATTAAATGCCCAACACCTGGTTGCGTTGGTCTGTATTGCACGCAGTGTTTCGCGGATTTGCAGAAATTATGCACAATTTGTCGAATGCCGGTGGAGTATGGTGATTTGACCGATATGAGTGAGGAGAAGTAAATCTTTTAATAATAAAAATATCTTCGTTCGATTTCATCAATCGTTACTAAATAAAATATTAAAATATTTTAATATTTTTAAAATATTCAGAGATTCAGAAATTGATGAACCAATAATACCGCCAATAATACCTGAACCTGAAGAACCAGAGGTGGAAGAAGAGGAAATAGTGGAAGAAGAAGAGATACCAGTGGAAGAAGAAGAGATACCAGTGGAAGAAGAAGTGGAAGAAATTGTGGAAGAAGAAGAAATAGAGATACCGGTGGAAGAAGAAATAGAGATACCGGAGGAAGAAGAAATAGAGATACCAGAGGAGGAAGAAATACCAGAAGAGGAAGAAATACCAGAGGAGGAAGAAATACCAGAAGAGGAAGAAATTCCAGAGGAGGAAGAAATACCAGAAGAAGAAGAAATAGAAATGATAGAGGAAGAAGAAATAGAGGAAGAACCACCAATAGAGGAAGAACTACCGATAGAGGAAGAACCACCAATAGAAGAACCACCAATAGAGGAACCACCAATAGAAGAACCGCCAATAGAGGAACCGCCAGTAGAGGAACCACCAATAGTCGAACCACCACTAGTAGAACCACCACCAGTAGAGCCACCACCAGTAGAGCCACCACCAGTAGAACCACCACTAGTAGAACCACCACCAGTAGAGCCACCACCAGTAGAACCACCACCAGTGGAACCACCAGTAGAAGTCGTTGAAAAACCAGAAGTAGAGCCTATCCTTAGTTTCGGTAAAAACATATAACTTCAAGTATATTGTTAGATTACTAGAATTATTAATTTCATTAAAAAAAAACTGTTTTAAATTGTCTTAGAATATCAGGAAGAAGAACCTCCAGAGGAACCTCCAGAGATTGTAAAACGGAGAATACCTTTTAAAGATGTGGAAGCACAAAGAATAAGGGACGACGTAACAATTCAAGTGCGTTTTAATATAAGATGATGAAATTATCTTTGGCTAATTTATAAAATAAAATTCCTTTTTTTTTTTT